TTTCAGCTGGTGGGTGAGTTATCCACACCTGTCCAGTGTCACCCTCACTCAACAGCAAGTTCTCTAGGGACAGACCCAGAACTTCTTTAGCATCACCATCGCCACCACCAACCACCATCCCCAAGCCCGGCACAGTGACCGGTACCTGTAAGCCTCCATAAACATAAGCACCGCTCTGCAGTTAGGGCTTTATGTGGAGCAAACAGAGAGCACCACAGAAGGCTTCCCAGTGCAGGAGGAATGTGCTCTGAGCCTTGTCTGGAGAATTAGCCAGTGCAGATTTGGAGATGAGCTATTGGGCCGGGCTGGTGGGGGGGGGGGCAGGTGCTGGGCAGGCAGGGCATGAACCAGACAGCAGCAGGCGCAGGGATGGGAAGAATGGGGTGGATTCTGAAGCAATTTCAGAGAGAGACTAGACATGACTTGGCAACTAATTGGATTAGGCAAGAGATGGAGGGGGAGTGAAGAAAGCCAAGTGTTCAGAATGACTCAGGGTTCTAGCCTGCGCATGATGAAGGAGGCACAGCCATCAACTAAGGCAGAACAGGCTGGGGAGGAAGCTTGTGTAAGGCACTGGGCTGGTCCCAGGGTCACCGAGTTGCAAGTTAAGGGCTGAACTTGAAGAAATGAGAGCCAGATCTATGCCTCCATGTTCTGCTGCCAACCTGGTCCAGACATTTTCTAACAGCATTTTAGCCTCATAAACAGAAAACCAGGGTGGAGAGCAAAAGACAAGAGTTCAGTAGCATGGTTTCTAGAGCATCACAGGGAAACTACCTCTAAGGTCTTAGCTTATGGAAATAAGCTATATTTAGGGTTTTTCAGGGTTGGGGGACATAATTAACGAGGCTCTGTGAGGTGCTTTAAGTTCACATGGCTGTCACTGGTTCCCTGATCCTGAGAGCTAAATGCTCACCCCCATTTCAGAGATGAGAAAATGTAGATGCCCAGAGTTTAATATACTTTCGATCATGCAGCTAAAATGGGAAACTGATTCAAAATAGGCCCTGCACATATGAGTGCTGAGCATATGCCTGTGCCAGGAGCTGAGCTGAACACCTGTCAGGTACGATGGCTTCCACAGTGGACACAGGCAGAGGGAAAGGCTGGAGATGATGGTTCAGCATCCGGAGTAGACAGTCTCAGAAAATCACATCCTTCTTCACTGCAGCATCTAGCCCCCGATTGGTTCAGTTCAACTTCCAAGTCTCTTTCTGCACTCCTGCAGGTGACAGACAGCACAGCTCCTCCCAGTTCAGAAATTCCTGCATCCTCTCTTAGTCCCAAGGGCTCATTTTTCTACCTCCAAGCCCAAGTGAGACTCCAAGGTATCAAAGAGGGTCCAGACTGACTTCTGAAGAGGAAGGGAGGAGATTGCATTGAAAAGGCAAGCCTGCTCAGAGCTACCTTTCAAGTGCCTGATGGAAGAGGCAAGAACCCAAGCTAAGGGGTTAAATAGCCACAGGAAGACAGAAGGAATGGTCTGGGCAATCACCAGCAGAGCCTTCTAAAATATTTAAAGGACAGAAACATGCAACCAAAGAACAGTGAGCTGAGAACTGTCCCAAGACTTTAATTACCACCTCCGTGCTGACAATCCAAAATCTTTCTTTCCAGCGTCATCTCCCTTGAGCCGCAGACCCACATACCCAACAGCTTCCTGACCTTCCCTCCCACCTTATACATCTCTTTGTTCCCATCTCCTAGTGCTTCCTGCCACCCAGTCATCTAAATCAAAGCCTTAGTGCCCTCCCGGGTACTTTCTTTCCTCCCACTGTCACCTCAATTAAACACCATGTTCCCTCAACTCTTCCTGCCAATGGCCTGTCACACCAGCCTTTATCAGGTCGTTGTCCTCTTTCAGAGAGAGTATTTCAATAGCTTTGAAACTGGCCACCGTGCCCCCACCTCTCCAGCTTCAATGTCTCCTCTCAAGGCCCATAGTTCAAGCTCTGCAGGACAAAAGTAACAAGCCCCTCACCAGCACCCCTCCCTCAGTACTCTTAGGAGGAAACCAGACCCCTCAAAATGACATACAAGACCCTTTGGGATCTGACCCTTCTTACACTTCTGGTCTCATTTTCTTGCCTCCTGGTTCCTCATTATTAAAACCAGACTAATCTTAAAATTTCCCCCAAATATTGGACTTTCTGATTCTTTAATAAAGCTCTCAGATACGTATGCTACAAAGCAGCTGCTAAGAACAATGTACCATGGAATATACTACCCTACTTGCTTTCTGGTCTTTGTAAAGTTATTTCCTTAGCTGGAATATAACTTTTTCCTTCCCCCAGCTTACTCCTACTGGTGATTCTTCTGCTAAACCCCACTGGGCTGGTCCCCCTGCACTATCCCAATACCTCATGTCCACTCCCACTTCACACAATCTACATATCTGCATTCCACTCCCACTTGAGTATTTACTACATACCACACTTGACATTAATATTCTCATTGCGCCTCCACAGTAAGTCTGCCGTAGGTACTGCTATGACTCCATTCTAAATAATGGGAAACTGAGCGTCAGGTCTTCACAACCAATTTCTGTAAGCAAGTGGCAGAGCAGGGATGTGAAAACCAACTTCTCTGGGCTTGGAGACCAAGCTCTTGAGCACTGAGATCCATCAAGCAGGCTCCCCCACTGAACCAACTTGACTTTTACTACTCCAAAGCCCAGGTGATGCCTGAGTACCCTGGGCCAGAGGCAGTGGACAGTTACAGGTACTGTGCCTCCCATGGATGGTTGTGAGCCTCCAGAACTAGGCAGTGGGTGGGAGGCAGGAAGCATTGCCTGAGCTTTTGCCTGACTTCAAACAACCAGCTCTCTTTTCTCAGAACACCTGGGATGAGGAGGCGGGCATCTGCGAGGTGGGGATGAAAAGCACCATTGCTGCTTCTATTCCAGACATTGTGGTCCTTTTCAGTATTCTACCCTGAGTATGAGCCCAGGCATTGTGGCAAAGTAACCATCATGGCAGTGGCAGCAAGCGCTGCCATGTCCTATGCACCAGTGACATTCAGGGCTCCCTTGCGCTCTGCCGCGCCCCACCCTCCTTACACCCTTTGCACAGGTGCTAGTCCTCCCTGTCTATGGTAAGGAAATTAAGGCTCAGAGTCCTTAAATGGTCTACCCGAGAGCACAGAAGACTTATTAAGTGAGTAGTGTTGGAATTCTAGCCCGGTTCTGTCTGTCATTGCTTCTAGAGTGTATATAAATCACCCCTAGAGCTTATTAAGATGGCAACTACTGGGGCTTGGAGGATGGCCCCATCAGCATTGTGTTTACCATGTAAGCATCAGGACCTACTTGCATGGATCCCCAGCATCTAAGTAAAAAAGCCAGGTAAGGCAAAGCATGCCTGGGGAGGCAGAGATGATGAGGATCCCTGGAGCTCGGTGGCCAGATAATCCAGCTCAGAGAGTTCCTGGCTCAGTGAAAAACTGTCTCAAAAAATACATTGGAGGGCAACTGAGGCAGCTGCTATGTCAACCTTTGGCTAATAGATTCTCAGTGCCACACACACTGAGGCAGCTCCAGGGGAGGGAAAATCGTCTGGCAGACTTTCTCGGGGATGGGGGTGGGGGATGGAGTCTGGACAGGGGCAGCTCCAGGGAGGGGGCATGGGGTGGACTTCCAACTGAACATTCCAGATTCTTTGGCTATCTGGATACCAGGGACTGGGGCGAGGCTCCCATTCAAACAGTGGGAATCTGTGTTAGAGCAAGTCTTAGGTGGGATCCAAGTCTGTTCTTTAAGTGAGCTCCCAGGTAATTCTGATACAAACCAGCCACTAAAAAAACAAAACAACAAAAAACCCCAAATGTACTATGGCAATGCTTTCCCAAACTGAGCTCATCCAGAATACCAGAATATCTCTCTCTCTCTCTCTCTCTCTCTCTCTCACACACACACACACACACACACACGCACACACACGCACACACAAAAACAAAACAAAACAAAAAACAAACAAAAAAACCAAAACAAACAAAAAAAGACATAAGACAAAACTAATGTGGAGGGGTGTTCCATGGTTAAGTAATGCTTCAAAGAAATGTTACGTATTTTATGACTTTCTGGCAGTTTAATGAATATTATCAAGCTGTATCTAACACAGTATTTCCCAGACTGGCTTAACCACAGAATCCTCCTCTATTGACAGCACCCATTAACATCTCACCAAACCCAGCGAGTGGAACGTAGTTAGTTGTACGTCTAATCTCAGCCCACACTGGCTCTCTGCTTGCTTCTGCTATGTATGCAATAAACAGAATTCAAAGCTCTAATCACGGCCTCAGGCTCACTTGCTATGTGGGACCTTCAGGTTTCTCTGGGTTCGTTCCTCTATACATCAAACAGGAAGTCCTGCATGCCTGCAGGGTCTTCATATGAGTATAAAGGAGGCCCAACTGCTGTGTAGGGGCCAGTGGCGGAAGGTGTTTGCTGTCAGGTCCAAGGAGTTTGATCCCCAAGACCCACAATTGGAGGGAAAGCAATTCCTGAACATGTGCAAGTCTGGTCTCCCCCCCCTCTCTCTTTCTCTCTCTCTGTTCCTCTCTCTCATAAATGTAACAAATGCTGTATTAATGTACAGGGTTGCACATCTTTTGGCCTCTGACTATGGTCAGTCAAGGCTTGCTAATATCCCATTGATTTTGTTTTCTACTTTTCTTGCATGAGATTAATCTCTCAAATTACTCTATGATCAGGGCAACTCGGGACCCTTCACTGGGATTATTTTGTACAATGTGAAGTGGGGGAGGGGGGGTTACTTTGAAAAAATCCTACAAAATGATGTTACACTTGACTGTATAGCATATGCGCTGTAAAAATCACATCGTTCTTCCTAATAACTCTGTGAGAGGTGGGACTCAACTTATTCGACCTATTTTATGAGGAAACTGGCTCAGAAAAACGCCTTAACTAATGTGGCCAGGACATGACTCTACTTTTGACTCACAACTGCATTTAACCACTTCTCCACTCTGGCACCTAACAGATTTCTGGCCACAAAGATGACACTGCCATGTTCCTGGCTGGCGCGAGAAAGGCTAGCAAGTGAGGAAGACGCGTTGGCAGACAATCCAGGTTCTGACCTTGGCCCCACCGCCTAACTACCTGTGATCAGATAAACTCCGCGTCTTCTCTGGGTTTCACTTTTCCTACACGTGAAATGACGCTGGACTACCGTGAGTGGTGTAAGCATCTCACTTCTGGCACCTCCTAACACTGACTGTCCTGATTATTCTGTCGCAGTACGTGCTAGGTGAGTCGGAAACCTGTTTCTTATCCCACGCCCTCACTGACAGGGAGAGAACCACAGCTCTGAACGCCTTGTCAGCACAGAGGACCCCGCCCCATAGGAGACCTGAGGAGTGTGTCCTGGTCTGATCCAACCCAGATCTATCCAGTTCCAAGTCCCCAAAGCCTGGCGTGAGCGACGTCAGAGGGGCCGCGACACACACCAAAAAACCTCTCGAGTGGTCCTCAGTGACGTAAGACAGCGCGACAGACTGGTCCTCTTTGTTCGTCGCTCACGCAAGACCTTTCTAAGGTGAAGCTCTGCGTGAAAAGGGGGCGGATAAAGTGGGAAGAAAGAGCCGAGGATGAAGAGCGGCCCCGGGCCTCTAGACAGAGCCCAGACATTGATGTAGGGGCCGCCACAACTCACCTGCCCGTACGGATAGCTGGCCATGGCGACTATGACGCCATACAGTTATGGAAGGCGGGGCTTCCTGCCTTATTCAGGGGGGGGGCGGGTCCACATCTTATTGGACAGACAGGCTGTCGATCTTACGGCGGACAAACGGAAGTGATTCTTGGGGCAGTGGGCGATTGCGAGAACGGGGCGTCTGGTTGCAGTGTCCGGAAGTGTTGGTGGCTGTAGTGGCACATTTATTTTTGGTTTTGTGACCTGGAGCAGCCTTCGGGACTGGTTAGACTAGGTTTTTCTAATGGTTAGACTAAGTTGGTTGTTTTTGCGGTGGCCATATTATAACCTGGCAAATCGGTCGCGTGCTAGTTGCGTCACTTTCTGAGATCACTTTATTTTTATGACCAAGCAGTTGTTATGGCTGCTGGGAACTAACCCCCTCCTGGAATATAGGTACCATTTAGTACTTGGATGCTAAACCGATCTTTGGGCCGTGGAGAAAGGTCAAGCTGCCAGAGTAGAAGAAAAATTAAGATAATTTGGCACTTCTTCATAAATGGGGAAACTGAGGTCCAGAAAGGCAGTGACTTATTTTCCTAAATTCACAGTCAGTTCACAATAAAATATGGCCTAGGATTAGTGTCGATGAATAGCTAGGTCTCGGCAAGGAGGTCTGTCCCCCTTTGTAGGTCAAAACCTGGAACTAAGTGATCATCATCATGTACTTGCCTCTTGGGTTTAGGTCCTACACTTGCTTATTTGATTAGTTAAATTCCCATGTGGCCAGGCATGGTGACACATACCTTTAGTCTCAGCACTCAGCAGGCAAGTGTATCCACATAGAGAGTTCCAGGCCAGCCAAGGCTACATAGTGAGGCCCTGTCTCAAAAAAACTCTCATGTGGACAAGAATTTTGTCTGGTTTGCTTGTAATTATATCTCCAGTATCTATAATGCTTTGCTATACTTTTAAATAAACAAAAAGAGTTATGAGCTATTATCCAGCCAGGCCATCTGACCATCTAGCCAGCCAGGCACTTTCCAAGCCCCCAGTTCTGATCATGGTACTAACCGCAGGGCAGTCCATGGCAGTTCCCATCCCTCATTCATATCTGCAAAGGCAGACAAACCCCTTCGTTCTGATGCTCTCGGCTCCTAATGATCTGGCCCAGCTGTCCCCAGTCTGTCTCCCACTCTCTTTGCTCCTTTTTCCACCTTCAACATGCTTTAGTGAGCAGATCTTGTTTTCTTTTTTAAGAATCAGTCTCTAGCTGTATGATCTGCTTTCTCAAATGTCGGTTAAAACAATGTTAACTTGAAAGGGAATTTAGTACAGACTCTCATGCTCAGGCTAGGGACACACTGCTCGTTCATAAAAAGACCCATGGCCCTTTCGCTTCTGTCTGTCAGTCCCATCCTCCGTTTAACCTCCCTCGTAGCCCCCAACTAATTAGCCACTCCTCTTAGTCTCCCTTTGGACCTAGCATGGCCTCTGTATCACAGTCTAGCCCTGTGTAAGAATTCTCTGATCATTTCCACCAAACGCATCTCTTCTAACTCAGAAAATCTGCAGTTGCTCAGGCCAAAGACCCAGGATCATTCTTGTGTGTCTTCTCCACACACTCCCCCATCTCCATTTGTTTTTTTTTTTGTTGTTGTTGTTCAAAAATATGTCACATCTGTTTTTTTTTCTCCATGTTCCACCTATCACTGGTCCAAGACCCCTCTGTAGTCTGGCCAATGTCTTTTTATTTGGCTCCAACACTCCCTTTTCCACTGAGAAGTCAGAGCAAGCACCTTAAAATGTGAATTAGGCTGGGTGGTGGTGATGCACACCGTTAGTCCCAGCACTCGAGAGGCAGAAGCAGAGGGTCTCTGAGTCCAAGGCCAGCCTAATCCACAGAGCGAGTTCCAGGACAGCCAAGGCTACACAGAGATACCCTGTCTTGAAGAACAAAAAAAAAAAGCTAAAACAAAACAAACAAACAAAAAAAGGTGAATTCAGTATCGTCACTCTCTAAACTCCTCTGAAGGTTTCCCATCACTCTTATAATAAAATCTAAACTCATCCTTGTAATTTTATGATCCTACAAGAACTAGACCCAGCCTGTGACACCAACCTCATTGATGTCATTACTGTCCTCCTCGGTTCACTCTGCTGGCCTGGTCACCACCCTGAAACCAGTGGAGCTCATTCTTCTCCAGATCTTTGGGTCTGCTCCTCTCTTCCTTTAAGAATGCTCTCCCCTTAACTTTCCACGTTTTCCTTTCTTGTCTGTCTCATTCAGGTCCCAGTTGAAATACGACGTTGTGGGTGGGTGGCATCCGTGATACCACATCTAAGATTCCTTGCCTCTCACGCACACCCCAGTCATCAGACATGTCCCTGTATCTCATTTTCTCATAAAATGTGTCATGTTGACTAGTTCCCTTTTAGGATTTACATGCATGTCATAAGGTGGGCAGGTATAATGCAGGATTATCCTGTTCTTTTGTAAAGGTGTATTTATAGTTATATGTACTTGTCTGTATCTGTGTGTGGGTGTGTGCATGTGACTGCAGGTGCCTGTGGAGGCCAGAAGAGGGTGTCAGATCCCCTGGAGATGGAGTTCCGACCTGGGTGCTGGGAACTGAACTTGGGTCCTCTGGAGAAACAACAGACTATCTTAACTGCTGAGCCAGCTCTCCAGCCCTTGTGTTTGTACTCAGTACATAGGATAGCGCCTGGCATGCATCCAGGAGGTGTTCATGGTTGTTATTATCATCAATGTGCTTTGATTGCTTTCTAACTATGAGACATTGGGCAAATCCTGCAATATTGTTCCATTACCAGCACAGTCTTTTGAGATAAATGTCATTACCTAATTGTAATGGAGGACTGGAGAAGCTAAATGATTTTCCAAGTATGAGAAAGAGAAATGATGAGCTGGAACATAGTCTTGCATCCCTGTAATCTCAGTATATGGGAGGCTGAGACTGGAGGATCACTAGTTCAAGGCGAATGTGATCTACATAGCAAAATCTTGTCTCAAAAAAAAAAAATGAGTGAGGCAGTGGTAGTGCACGCCTTTAATCCCAGCACTCGGGAGGCAGAGACAGGTGGATCTCTATGAGTTCGAGGACAGCCTGGTCTACAGAGTGAGTTCTGAGACAGCCAGGACTGTTACATAGAGAAACCTTGTCTTGAAAAACCACAAAAGAAGAAGGAGAAGGGAGAAGGGGAAGGAGGAGGAGGAGGAGAAGAAGAAGAAAAAGAAGAGGAGGAGGAGGAAGAAGAGGAGGAGGAAGAAGAGGGGAGGAGGAAGAGGAGGAGAAGAAGAAAAAAAGACCTGGTTTGGTTACCAGCACCCCACATGGTGGTTCTCAACCAGCCATAATTTCAGTTCCTGAGGGATTAGTTACCCTCTTCTGAGCGATCATGTCCTCCAAGAGCAGCCTGCACATACATGACTCACATGCCTAGGTGCAAGCAAAACAATCATACACATAAATAAATCTAAAAAACTTAATGGAGAAGCCAGGATTTCAGGCCAAGTTCAGAATATTTTAACAGCTCGGTGCTATTATTAATATGTCATGTTGAATTCTAGGCCAGGAGTCTGGCTTGGGTGTGGTGGACTCAATAAATCAGGCCCAGCCACTCACTCCAAAAGACAAAACAGAAAAGAAGTGGTAAACAAGGGAAAGAAGTTGATTCCGTATAGCCATCATGCCAAGGAAGAGGAACCAGCGTCCTCAGTTCTGTCTTCGAGGTGCTAGCAAGAGTTCTGAGTTTATGTAAGAACAGACAAAAGGCTGGTGGCAAGAAACGCATGGCCAAGCAGTCTGGTGGCTGGTGCATGGCCAAGCAGTCTTGCTCTAGCCGTGGCTGGGTAATCATTACCTCAGGGAGGGTTCAGAACCTTCGGGGTAGTATCAGAGTTGCTGCAGCGTTTATCAACCAGACCTGTAATTCCTGGAATCCAGGGCAACTGCAAGAGAGCGTGACTCAGGACAAGTCAGGAAGACCGGTGGAGTCAGACCAGTAGTTGGTCCCTTCCAGCTTAAGGCAATGATATGAGATTTCTAGGTGCTGCTCTTGTGGTCTGGAACAGGACATTGTAAGGGCCAGATGCCAACCAGGTGTTGTGGCACACAACTTTAATCTCAGCACGTGGGAGGAAAAGGCAGGCGGATCTCTGAGCTGGAGGCCAGTTTGGTCTACAGAGTGAGTTCCAGGACAACCAGGGCTACACCAAGAGACCCTGTCTCAAAAACAAACAAATAATAAACAAACAAACAGCTCCATCCTCCAGCAGTTGGGAAATTGAGGTAAAAGGATGATTTGGGCCACACCCTGCCCCCAACGTTTAGGGACCCGTGTATCCCAAGCTGGCTTAGAATTTGCTGCATAGTCAAAACTGACCTTGAATTTCTGTTTCTCCTACCTCCACTTTCCAAGTGCTGAAGGTGTGAACACTCTGCTCTAAGAAGATCCCCAGTTTGAAGCCATCCTAGGCTAAAACAAAAACCAAAAATCTGGCAGGTGGCAGTCTATTGGAGAACTGGAAATCCACCCTAGTCCTTGGATGAGTTAGCCTCGGGTTAGGGAGGACATTTTCCCTAGAGTGCCTTTCTCAACAGAGACTCAGAGACCAGAAGGTTAGGGGCGTGGAGTAAAACCAGAGCATAAGGGCAGTGTGTGAAGGGGAAGGCACGAGGTGGCTCAGCGGTTAGAGCACTTGCTGCTCTTCCAGAGGAGCTGGGCTCCGTTCCGACACCATGCGTAGCTCACAACTGTCTATGACTCCACTTTGCCCCCTTTGGGGAGGGAACTGGTCACTTCAAGTCCTTGTCCAAATGTGTGTCCCAGGATGAGATGAGTTTTCGATTCAAAACGCATGCCCTAACTTTTCTGGCCAACCGAGGGAGAAATGGCCACTTTCTATTACCATTATTTAACCTTTGCAGTCAGTTAACACCACTGTTCACAATCCCGTGCGGCCTAAAACTAGGGTGGGTGTTTGCTAGGCAACAGTTGACTGCACGTGTGATGGAGTTCACCTCCTCGCTGCTGTCAGTTCAGGCGAGGAAGGGACATCTGACTGAAATGTTTACCGTCTTCGGTATACCTTTTAGCTTTGTGGCCAGATTAAAGTTCCAAGTACTCTTATGGCTCATTTTTAAGCATTACAAGCAGAAGATTGCTGGCTGAAATTCCCTCATTTGATGGTTTTAAGCTGCCTCCTGGAGTCCGTGGCTCCTCTGGCAATCCCATTGCGTTCTCCAGCAATCATTATGGCAAATCTTGAAGATGCCTCAGTCCCTCTTATCTCGCTGTCTTCCAACTTGAATGGGGAAGATCACCAGTCCTGCAGAACATTCCTTAAATGATTAACACGCTGACGTGCAGAGATGAACAGGAATTTGACTCCTGTTTTTATTACATTTTATTTATTTTGTGCTGTGACTGAGTTCACTCACCCATGTGTCGACGTGCGTCTGTGGAGGTCAGAGGACACCTTTGTGGAATCACGTCTTTCCTTCCACCACGTGGGGCCGGGAAGATCAAACCCAGGTCATCAGGCTTGGCAGTCGGTGTGTTTCCTTGCTGAGCCCTCCGGGCCCCAGACCCAAAGTCTGAAGTAGCAAAAGGAGACACGTAAAATAAAAGTGGAGACGTCACGCTTTGATCCTGCCTTTAGTCAGCCAGCGGGCCCCAGGGAAGAGGATGGTTTCAGCAAACGCAGCTTCTCATCGGATAGTGTCTTCCAGAAACTGTTGGTGGGACTGAACTGTGAAATCTCAAAAAAGAAGCAGTTCTGAAGTAAGGGGCTGAAGGTCAAAGAGTAACACCTAGCCTTCGAAGTGAGGTCATGTGACTCACCCTCTCTGATTCCACAGACGCCTTAGTCTGAGTTCCTTAGTAGCACAGGAGTCCATCCGTTTATGATTGTGTCCATCCTTTTATGATTGCATTTGTGCATGCACACACACACACCTGTGCGTGCATTTGCATGCCTAAGCCAGTATGTGGAGGTCTTAGGACAGCTTGAAGGAGTCAGTTCTGTCCTTCTACCATATGGGTCCAGGGATGGGAACAGGTCACCAGCGTTGCCAGCCACCACTGAGCCACCTCGCCCACCTCAGGAAATTTTTTTGCATTTTTATACCCTAGTAAAAGGCTTAGGAGAACTCGCAGCCAGAGGTCTGCATTACTTGGGGGTCAGGAGGTTCCAAGGAGCCACTCAAGCAGCCAGACACCAACCAAAGCCAACGGGGGCGCAGGTGTGTTTATCTTGGAGGGGCAGATGAAAGAGACAGAAAAACAAGCAGCTCATTTCCAAACCTTAACCACCTGAAGCAGCCAGCGGTGGGTGGGGTCTTCCTGTTATTGTTTCAGCTCTGGCGGAAGGAGAGAGAAAGCTTGGCTTGCTGCCTTCCTTGGGGAAGTGAGAGTTTTCCGGAGATCACAGAAGGCATGTGCTTGACCATCAGAGAAGCAGAGCTTGGTAATGGAAGGCCTCACACTGGAAAATCTTTCTTCCCCAATGCCACTTGGCTGGGTGCCAAGCTCCCCATGTGGCATGCTGGGAAGGAACACCAACACCCACCTCATTATGGAATTCTCTTTGATTCCAACTAGATCCAGGTTTGAAGTTTGGAATCCTTTTGGATTTTGTGGACCGCTTTCCATAGAGCCCATTGTAAAATGAGACCAACGCATACAGGTATCTGGCCCCTGGCCCCTTACTTCATGGCACCATGGGAACAGTATGAAAGAAAAAAAGAGCTGTTCTTGTAAGGGTTAACAGACCTCGTGTGGAGCGAGAATGCTACTGAATTGTGTTGAAGTATGGTGGAAGGAAAATATTTTGACAAAAGAGAGGATTTCAGCTCCCAAGGCTTCCAACACGGGATTCTTTTTTTTTTTTTTTTTTTTTTTTTTTTTGTCTGCAGAATAAATATGCAGTAGCCTTGGACTTCTTAAATTAAGGGCTCTCCAGTCCATTCTCCACGCTGCAATCCGCAAACTACTCATTAGGCAAACCTTTGTTTAAAACTCACCAGCGGTTACCCACTGTGTGACCATTGCTCGTGCTAAGGATTGCAGCCCCACTGCTGGTGGCCTCCCCACCTGCCTGCTGCGCTCAGTCATCTCTGGACCTTGGCACATGCTGTTCCCGGTGCCTGGATCAACTTCTGTCTAGACAGTGAGGTCCCACAGCGATGCACCTCTCCCGCCACGGGGTACCGTCCCACCCTCCCTCGTAATCATTTAATGAACTGCTGTCTCTGTCGTCATGGTGGGGGCTGAGTCCATGTCTGTCTAGTTTGTTTCAGGATTCCCCAGAGCCTAGTACAGTTCCTGGCACAAACCAGGAAGAGGAAACAGGCTCTTCAAGTTAGACTTCATCAATTTGAATGATCTCTGCGTTACCTTGAAAGTCTGGAACAGACTGGGAAGTGGAGATGGAGGAGCAGAGTGGGAAGTGGAAGCGTTGCCGAGGAGAGCAGAAGGCACCCCTCCCTGTTTTCTGGGCAGCCCACGGCTCCTGAGCTGATGAGCAAGATGCACAGATTTTTTTTTTTTCTGCTGACCACAGAAGAAGAGACTATAAAATTCAGCTTCCATCTGGTTCTTCATGGTCCAAGAAAAGACAGCAATTTCAGACTCCAGGGAGACAGCCACTCAGAGCACGAAAGCCTAAGCCCTAGCCTGCCGTAGAATCCCCAAGAGCTGCATGGATTTGCCTCAGGAAGGAAAGCCAAGGAAGCACCGCTTCTTAGGATCGATTCCCCGGTGGCCCTCAAAGGGTACGCGTTTGATGTCTCCCATGTCAGTTACCCCCCTGGCCTTCAGAGCCAACCTGCACGATTCAACAGCTGGTCCTCGCTTCTCTTTCTTTCTACTTGCGCCAGCAGGCTTCTGGTCACAGGACCCATCCCCAGTTTGCTTTGCAGGCTGGGCTGAGAGTAGAGTGGAGCCTTCCAATGGGAGCGCTTTCACATCTGTCCTCACCCACCGTCCAAAATCTGGCTGCAACTTCAATGCAATGATGATGTATTTGCTTTTTAATGTTTTCTGTTAGGACCAGAGTTAACTGAGAATTACTGGTGAGAGATGAAAAGAGAATAGACTCTCCTGGCTCTAAGAGCAGAGTGGGAGGCACTTGGCAGACTCGGGAGCCTGCCTGTTAGCATTGTTTGGCCACGGGCACACCTCTGTGTCAGGCCAGAAAAAAATAATAGGGCAAAGGTTCTGAAGAGCCACCCATAGGCTGGTACCCGACCAGAGAAGGGAATGTTCAAAAATGTACTGAAATGCCAGCTCTGGAGAGATGTGACAGCCGGCTTGAAGGCTTCAGGCAGTTTGGATAAACATCTAGACTTTGAGTACATTTCTGAGCCTGCTCTGTGATCCCTTTGAAGTTTATCCAACTTGAATAAGCCCTCCAGAAAGCCAGGGCCAGTGAAATAGGATTTCTTTGGAAGTCCCCCTGGATGTGCCCTGTTGCTTCCTCCCAGGGCAGCCGGCCCATCAGGACCAGCGATCTGAGGAGCAAAGAAGAAAGACGCCTGAGACAGAGCACTCCTATAATATTCAGTGCATTGTCTTCTTCTTTTCTTCCTGTCCCTTTTACCTATGGAGGGCACAGTAGATAGAAATCCCCTGGTGGACTTGGTGGACCACAAGCTTAGATCTAATCGTGGCTTGCCTGGGACCCCTTCTCAACAATCTAACCCCAGCTATTTCTGAAGGCCCAGCCTGAGATGTGCACCACGAATGTTAGAATAACAAAAGGCACTGTTTGCGGTCTAAAAAGTCTGCCTGAAGCTGGAAGGCTGGTGACAGAACCCAGCGTAGGCACAGGCAGGAGGTTCCATCTCATTTCCCAGAGAAACACCCCCTGGCTTCTTGGACAGGGGCCGAGGCTGTCTTTCCTCCTGTCTGTGCAGGTTTTCTAGTCATGAAATTACTGGGGCATTGAGAAGTGCCTGCATGCATGGAGGGGAGTCTGGGTGGGTGAGCACTCCTCAGCACTGGGAGACATCTCCCCAGGTACAAGCTGGCTCAGCTTCAGGTCACACAAAGGAGAATGGGGTAGCAAATACTGGGTTCATTCAGAAAGACAGGGAGCAGCCTTTCTGAGCATGTCTCGGTGGTCTCTGAACCTCTTTTGACTCACTCCAGAAATTGAGCAGAACCTCTTTCCCTACCAAAGCAAGTGTGCCCTGGCGGTGCCTAGAGAGAGAGCAGGGCAAGTGGACAGCCTGTGCCTAGCACAACACAAACCTACAGACTGGCCATAGACCATGAGGGACACATCCTTTCATAACCCTAGGACCAAATGACAGAGAAGATGCGGCTGCAGCACCAGGAGAACCCCACTGAAATGGGGTTACAAAATAGTTTTGTTTCTTTATTGTTAAAAAAATATTAACAGCAACAACGACAAACGAAAGAATAGCACAAACATTCACAACCCATCAGAGTCCGTAAGCTTTGCCCACTAATTCCTCTTGGAGTCCTTCATCTCCGTGCAGGTGGTGGTTTCAGCCAAAAGGCCCCTTCATGTTTTTCATGGGTGGGTACTGTTGCTCCATTGGCATGGCCCCAAAGCAGTCTGAGGGGTTGCAGTGGCCAGCCTTCCCCGGCTGGCCCATAGGACCTGGGGGCCCAGGGATGCCTGGAATGCCTTGCTGACCCATTGGCCCTGTTGCGCCCATCTTGCCATAACCGGGAGGTCCCTGAGGACCTACGGAGAGAAGAGCCACAGAAGGAAAGTCAGGAGACCCAGATGACAAGAGACATTGGCTGTGACAAGTGACACCTTCATTTCATGCATATTTGCCAGGTTGAAGCATGCTTTTTTTGAGACCTGCCAACTCCTCATATTGATTTCAAAAGGACAGCTGCACCTCTGGCTGGTTTTATTGGAAGGGTCTGTATATCAGGAGGAGGGATCGTGAGCCTTTAATACATCATTGCATCCACAAAATAGCTCCCGGGGAGAATGACAGGACTCAGAAAAGTCGCACGTGGGTAATACCCATGGGGTAAGTAGCAAAGCTGAGCTTCAGAGCTTGGCCACCAGGTTTTAACCACGCTCAACTCTCTGACCATTCATCTTGGAGAATGACTCTGAGGGCTTAAGTGACCTCATCAACATCACAGGACCAGTAAATGCCAAACAGGTCTGGGACTTGGATTTTTGATCCCTACTGCATGCAGTCCCCCAACGCACACACTGCATCATGCGAGCCTAGCTTAGGACAGAGGCAGATAGTGTCTCTCTCTCTCTCCACTCCCTTTTCAGGCCCTAGCACCGTATCTTGAGCTGGGAGCATTTCTGTACGTGGTAATTAGCCTGGCATTATTTGCTGTTCTAATGATTATGTTGTAAAGAAGCGGGGGTGGGGGGGTGATGAGAGGGTGGATTCTGTTGTTCTGAATTCGTGGTCTGAAAGACTGGGTTCTCCTACCTGGGGGACCAGGAAGACCATTTTCTCCTGCAATGCCAACACCAATATCTCCCTTTTCACCTTTGGTGCCTGGTAATCCTGCGACAACAGAAATGAAGTTAAGTTCTATCTCTAAGCAGAAAAATGATAGCCATGTGAATTGTTACACACATGCGCGCGCGCACACACATACACACACACACACACACACACACACACAGAGAGAGAGAGAGAGAGAGGGAGAGAGAGAGAGAGAGAGAGAGAGAGAGAGAGAGAGAGAGGGAGAATCACAACAGTCAGCCCACACACAGCTGCAGATACCCTTTACCCCAGAGATCCAGAAGGTAGAGCTACCTCTCATTCCTGGCAAACCCTGGCGTCCTTCTCTGCCTATCTGGCCAGGGAGCCCAGGTGACCCTGGAGCACCTGGCCGGCCTGGAGCACCATCCTTTCCGGGGGGCCCTGGCCGGCCCGGAGCTGCTGCCACCTCCATGGGGAACTGCATCCTAGAGGTATAGTAAGCCATCCTCTCTGCAAGCAAAGACAAAGGCCAGGTCACTGGGCGGCCAGGTGTTCAGAGCGGCTGCAGATGCTGCAGACATGCCACCAGCATGGAACAGCCTCCAAAGGCAGAGAAGTATCAGGCTGGGGAGCATTGGCTGCTCTCCCGAGGGAGATCTTGTGCTGTGGCCCTCATGTGCCCTCCCATTCAGACCTTTCAGAAGCACGGATCTGATTTGGGCATCTCTTCCCTCTAACCATCACCCCTGGTCCACCACTGGCTTCAGAATGTGGTCCAGAGAAGTCTCTTTCCCAAGCAGGACGCTCAGCATTCATGTTCCCCTGAGTCCACAGCACACAGACAGGAAAAAAAGGCTTCAAACCCTAGCAGCACCTTCTGTCTGCTCGCCCCTCTCCTCAGAAGTGCCTCCGCACAGGCTCGTTTGAAATTGGCTTTCTTAACCTCCTTTGCTCGAGTGGGGGATCAGGAGGGCAGAAGAGAACCGATTCATCTCTGAACAGAGCAGGTGACAAGGGAGGTCTGATGGATAGGTGAGCATATGCCTGTCACCTGCTGTCTGTAAATGTGTGAGGGTGGGAAGGGGAGGACACTGGAGCTTTAAGGAAAAGGAAGGCAGGACCGGGTGGAGAAATGACTGGTAAGGGCAAACATTACCCACTGCCACCCTGCCGGCTGCCAATTACCATCAAACATTTTAATGATCTCTTGTCTGATGAACCTCTTGATGTCATCGTAATTCACCATGTCTCCCTGATGAAAGAGAAGAAACCTGGCCTCAATTAGACGTCCAAGCTTGGCCCTTTCCCAGTGAACAGACTTGATTTCCAGAAATAAAAGATGGAGCAGAGGGTAAAGGTCCTGGGAGCCTCCCACAGAGGCTCAATCCAAAGAGCTACCCACCCTGAAATAGTACAATACATTTTGTGCTAAAATGCAGCTTGGGGTGGGAGGGGCACCTGAAGCTCCCCCACTTTCCCATGAAAAACTAGAAGCCACCTGGAGTTGAGCTCTTTCCTGCAGAATGTCAGCAGGAGTTGCTCAAGTAACCATGTGCCAGCCTGTGGTTGCTGGCCTCCCCTTACCATAGAGCCTGGCAAACCAGGCAGTCCAGGGTTCCCTGCAGGCCCCGGGGACCCAGGGTGGCCTCTTTCTCCTGCAGGACCTGGTGGCCCAATAGGTCCCATGGAACCGCTCTTGCCAGGTCCCCCCGGCATGCCAGATCTTCCCTTCTCTCCTGCTTGGCCTTTCTGTCCTGCAGGTCCTGGGTCACCCTACAAAGACAGCAAGTCATAGTACAGCATTACTGACTGTTTCCAAGTCTGTCACGGTGTGTCAGCCCCTTCCCCACGTGCCCAGCATCTCCCTCTGAGCTGCAGCCATGACGATACAGGCTCCTCTGTCTCACCACCTCCCAGAGCAGTGCTTCTGGAAGGCAATGCTCGCATCACCCTTGGCTGGGAAATGTTCATGGCTCCCACATACCCTCAATAGGAAGGTCCCCTTCCTTGCCCAGGCAAGACCATAACGTCATCCTCACACCTTCCCCAGCCTTGTGTCCTTGCTAGCTCTAGCCGCCCATCACTCTCTGGTTCTCTGGTTCTACTATGTTGCTTGAATCTGCTGTCTGGAAAGCCTTCCCAGCCTCAGCACCCTGATGATTACCCCTCTACTCTTCTCTGCTGAATGATCCTGCCCTTCCTGCAGCCTTCCTCCCTCATGGCCAGTTAGAGTTAGGAGTCCTTCCTGGGGTCCCACAGCATGGCTTCCACACTCTAGTATCAGTGTGCCTAGGCGAAGGGAGTGTCTGTCCAGGGACTTCTTTTTACCCCTAGACCAAGCCAGAGGCCCTGGAGTGAGCCAGAGTGGGCCATGATTAGGGGATTAGTGAGACTTCCATTCCCCAAGATATAGATGAGACAGTCCCAGGTGAGGTCACATCTCCCTTTCCTGCCTATCGGCCACCCTAGGCTTCCTCTGTGGCTACAGTTGCAACTCTTTTCAAACCCAGCCAGAGGTCGCTCACCTTTGGGCCAGGAGGTCCATAGAGCCCCTGCTTTCCAGGAGGTCCCTATAAGTAAGCAGAAATTTGGGGTCAAGTCTGGGCAGCATCACTGAGGCTCCCTGGGGTGGGAGCAGGGAAGGTGCAGTGAGAAGGACCACCTTTTTCCACCCTAGGACCCTGGTTATGTCCAGCTGGGCTGTGTGAGAAGAGATGACAGCTTCCCTTCCAACCAGAGGGGGCTGACAGCTGGGAGGGAGGATGATGTCCCCGGGGGCATGGCCTTGTTTGATAGCATTGGCTGATCCCTCGTCACAGATGAACTGATGTGACAAGAAGTCAGAGTGGGAAGGCCAGTCTGAAAGAGCAGAGGGCAAGGCGGGGGCGGGGGCTCAGGGAACGTTTGTTTGGAGACTGTTAATCATTGCTCTCTCTTTCTGACCAGAAACAGGGTCCTCTTATTCCATTAGAACAAGAGTTGCCAGCTTCTTGCTTGTAATTGGCACTGGATATCTGTAGGGGACTGTTCCGGTATCCCCGTGTATCCCTAAGTCTGTCTCGAGTCCCATTTGTCAAATGGGGTGATACTTGACTCTAACCTGTGTGCACCCATCTGTGTGTTCTATGTCACCTCTGACCTACTTAACAATAGTGACCAATGTAAATGCTGCCGTTTAGGAAATCGTGATGGGGGGAAAAGGTGAGCCAGGAGTGGTGGTGCCACCTATAAGCACTAGGGAGGCTGGAGCAGGAGAATCATAAGGTTGAGGCCAGTTTGGGCTCTCTAAAGTTCCAGGCCAGCATGGGTACATAGTCTCAAAAAAAAAAGTCTGTACATGTTCAGTACACATGCATTTTTCTCCCTGAATATTTTCAATCAACCAGAGATTGGTTGAGTTTCTGGATGTGGAAACTATGGGTATAGTTTCTATAGGATATAGTCTGTGCCCATGGTGTATGCTTACTGAATGAGGGATAGAACAAGATGAGGACCAAGAGGAAATGTCCCCAAGAGGAAGAGAGAGCAGCGTAACTGTACCTCTTTGCCAGCCGCACCATCCGACCCAGGTTCACCCTGGGGAGCAGAGAGCATTAGAAACAGAATGAGTAGTCAGTCAACCCCACCCTACCTCCCTCATACCTCTCTGTTCTATCAAGGAACCCTGATCCTGCAGCTCCTCCTACCCCCACTCCAACCTGCCGGAGCTAGAGCAGAGGTGTCTTTTTCCTTGAGAACTGTGTGCATCCCTGGTTCTCACTGTGCACTAAATGCTTGCTGAAAGGCCGCATGAATGGTGAGCCTCTGTCCTCAGTGAGACTGGCCAGGACAAGCTGACCTCCTTCCTCCCCCATGACACCACAACAGCTCAGGGCTGTCCAGCCCCTGCTCCCCCTGAGTTTCCCAGGCCTTTCTGGTGGCTGCTGAAGAAGGAACATCTGGGATTGCAGGTCAAGGAATAGATGCATCCAGGGTCCTGGCAGCTCCTGAGACTGCAGGGAGGGAGGGAGCCTGAAGGGATGACATCCCCAGGGGTGGAGTTCACAGTGAGCGGGAGTGCTGACCTCTGGCCCTCTGGGAAATAGGCCCAGTGACCACGTCCACATAGAATGTCGTCATCCATCTCACCAGAGAGTAACGACCAGCTCTGGATTGCTACTGTGCTCTGGAGGAAAGTCTGCTTGGTGGGAAAGCCCCTGTCACAGAGACCTGGGCCCCTTTCTTTGGCTTCTCAGAACCTTTACATCCCCGAGACCAGCAATCAGCTCCATTCATGTGGTTTACCTGTCTAGACCTCTACAGAGGGGAAGCTTCGCAGGTTGGTGAAGGGCGCAAAATTTGCAATGGCGAAGGGGTGCAGAGTTTGCAGTGGAGTAGGCTGGGGATCAAGTCTCAGCTCTCCCATTTACTAGCTGTGTACCTCAGAGCCATCAGCTCAGTCACACTGAACCCTCATTTCCTCATCTGAAACCCCAGAGACAATTGGACCTCCAAATAGTGTTGCAGAGCACATTAAGAGAAAACACACATCCAACATAAGCTGAGGCTCACTTCGGCACAGTCAGTGACCAATATAGCATCACTCTGAATGCTAAACGGGCTGAGATCAAGTCTGGCTTCTGCAGCGCTCCGAAAGTTACAGTAATAGCACAGTATTTCTGGTTCCTGACATTTTCAAAGACTTTTTGTGGTTACTGACAAGCTCCACTGGGGCAGGGGCAGGGCCAACACATGGACCAAACCTTCTCTTTCTGGCACTTCGTCAAGGGATCTGCATTAGGTTGATGATACATCCTCAGAGGCAGTGCCCTTGCGTGCCGCTGGCTCAGTGCTGGCTTGCAGGGCTTGTCTTTCAGGATACAATACAATCCCTAGACACAGGCCATGCTGCCACCCTGCCATGCGAACACCCTCTCCTTTCCTAGAGATCCCAGGTGTAGTGGACAAAGCCAAGTCCTCTCCCCTGGGCTGGGCTATAAGATGTGGACTCTTACCGGAGGACCGGGGTGTCCAGGAGTGCCAGGTTGGCCTGGGAGGCCTGCCAAACCCCTTTCTCCAGGGGCTCCCCGATCTCCTTTCAGGCCCTGGAAAATAGGATGAAAGTCAGCGGGGAAAGGAGAAGCAGAACCCACAAGTCCAGAGGCAGAACCCAAGCCCCACCACCATGTTCCAGGGGCCAGGCTCCACAGGGGCAGATGACCCTAGGATGGCCTTGAACTACCCTTTGCCTCATCCCAGAAGGGAGATCTTTAGGACAAGTGAGGGGCTGCTGTTAAGAAGGAGGGAGGACAAAAACCTTCTCCATCCGTTGGCTTTGGAAGGAGCCCACAGCAGAAAAGGCCATGTTTAATGTTCCTTGAGGAAATACACTCACCATGGTGGAGATCCCAGGTGGACCCGGCTGGCCTGGAGGCCCCTGTGGCCCCTAGGGACAGGGGAGTCAAGGCATGGTAAGGGCTTTAGCCGAAAACCCAGGCTGGAGGGGGTGTAGGCGGCAGCAGGAACATCCCTACACTGCATTAGCTCTGCTCTCCTTCTGAAATCTCTCCTTCCTTCTGATCTTACACTTGAACTTCTACCAGGAGCTCTGGTTCCAGAGCAGAGGTGGGAGGGGCTGAATAGACAGGACCGTGTGCCCAGTGCTCGCTGATGGGTGCACCTAGGTTGTGAGGTGCAGAGGCCAAAGGCAGGGGAGAACAAACCACTAGCAGGGACCTCTCCCGAGACCCTGTGCTTCCTAAAGGCAGTCCAGCCTCCTGTTGTTTTGTGGAGGAGGTAAAACCAGCAGCCAGGTTTTACACAGTAGAGGTGAAGGGCAGGGACAACATGTACCAGAGACCATGTCCCCATTCCCTACATTCACAGGAGGGAATCCAGCTATCTCCAAAGCCCTTTTTCATATCACAGAAGTGGGAGACCTTTGGGGACAGAACAAAAGGCTGACTCAGCATCCACATGGGAAAGCTCTGGAGCCCCACACTCTGAGAAGCAACGACACGCTAACCCCTGGGGTCGTCCTCTCCTGACACTGCTAGGGCTGTATCTGAGACGCCCACAGTCTAAAGTTCACCTCCTTCAGCAGAGCAATACCTTCTCTGAACCCGAGAGTGCTCATCTCCTCCCCAGAGCACATTCCTCCACACCCCTTCCAGAACATTCTGGCGCCATAGCGCCTATACTACTCATGTAAGACTCCTGGGGTGGGGATCCTCATTGGGACCAGCACATAGCAGGGACCAGGGCTGAAGAGAGGAATGACAGGGGAGCCCATCAGGTCCTCACCCATAGCCCCCCTACGGAATCTCTACCAGGCCCACCGTCCAGGGTATGACTCTTTCATACTTAATGTGAACAGGACTGGAGGGGAGACCTGGGGTCCCCAGAACAGAGCCTCTGTACTCCTTGAGATACACAAAACGGTGACCTGAGAGTTCCTGGGTTTTTTTTGTTTTGTTTGTTTTTTTTGTTTTTTGTCATGAGCTATTTTCAATGTTCCCAAACGCCTCCTGAAAATTATACAGCCATGCTATACTAGCACGCCAGTGGATTTGCTTTCTCGGGAGCCCTGTCGGCTTGGTGCCGTCACACTGATCAAAGGCCACAATCGGCAGTCATTTGTGTCACTGATGAGAAAAGTGGATGGAAAAATACAGCATTGCTAAATAAACATGTTCTCCAATTCCCCCTAATGGCAAAACCACCACCTGCCCACCCAGGCACTCAGCAGAACTTCTTGGTCCCTCTCTTTCCACCACTCAGCTCGCCCTTGCTTCAAAGCGAGCTCCCCACCTCTGAGTGCATCCCAGATCTCCTGAGCCCTCTGTTCCCTCTCCCTTCCCACCACCCAGCCACCCACCTGCCACTTACCAGCCCTTTCCTGGGTATGCCTGTCTGAACCCACCCCAGAGGTAGCTTTTTCAAAGTTCAGCTTTTCTGGTCACACATGTATCAAGCTACCCCAGTGTGACGGTCTTCAGGTCCCTCAGACACATCAAGCTCCCGGCTGCTTTTGGTTCTGTGTATCCGTGTCCCTTCTCCAGCAAGAGTTCCCCTAAAGCAGTGGTTCTCAACCTTTAATACTTCATGTTGTGGGGACCCCCAACCATAAAATCATTTCATTGCTACTTTGTCACTGGGATTTTGCTACTGTTATGAATCACAATGAATCCGATACACCCATATCTGATATCTCAACCCACAGGTTGGGGACTGCTGTCCTAACGCTCCCTACCTCCCAGGTCTTCCCTGCAACATCCCCTCATCACCTGAACCTTTCAGATGCATGTTTCCTGCGCCTGCTGGGAAGCCCTGTGGATAAGGGCCCTTGTCTGTCTGACTGGGTGCTGTGGCCCTGATCTGCAGCAGATCATCAATAACTCCTTCCTGACTAACTGAATGACTCATGTCTGGTAAGCAAATGTGAGTGTGCACAGTGAACCCCAAAAGTGGCGAAAAGCAAAAACCACCGAGTCAGATGAGTCTAAAACCCCTCATACCTCTGCATGGCTAGGGCAGCTACTGTGGCATAACCAGCCTACCCCATCCCCCAGGGGCATCCTAATTCATAGAAGCAGAGACAAAACCAGTTTAACTCACAAGATGACCTGGAGGTCCTGGTCGTCCCTGGGGTCCCATGGCACCAGGCTCACCCTGCAGGAGTCAGAGAAAGAAAGAGGTGACACAGAAACCAATTGACCTGCATATGCGTGGCTGCTTGGTAGGAGCGGGCTGAGGGCAGCGGCATGCAGCAATGGCCAGAGAGCTGGACAGAGCTCTGAACTTAGACCCTAGCCTTCTACGGCTTAAGAAGACCAGGCTTGTCTTTTGGATGGTTGTCCAATTGTCCTTCTAGGGAGGGGACCAGTTATAGCTCTCAAGATGGAGAAGGGTCAAGATATGCAGTGTGGGGTGAAATTTCACAGCAGAAAGCCAAGGAGAGAAGGCAGTCACTTTGCCACTGTGAGGAAAGAAGAGGCTTCATCTTGGGACATAGCGGAGGCCAAGGCTGTGTGTCAGCAGTATGCACAGAACCCCAGTCCTTACCTCTGCACCTGGCCGGCCACTGCTGCCAGGGGGACCTGGTTTTCCGCAGTCACCCTAAAAGAGAGAGAGGACAGTGGAGTTTTGTATCTCCACCCTCTGTTGAGCCTGGATCAAGTGAACTCTGCCACCTTGCCCTGGCTTTGACCAGAGGGTCTCTGGCACCCTTCGGCTGGTAGGTGGCAGAGTCCTGACCCAGTTCGGCAGGCCCTAGTGGCCTCAGGAAGCTAGGGTGCTGGAGTAACATCTCATTCTGGGGCCAGGCGACATCCTAAACCCAGGCTGGGTTGCCATGTCTGCCTGGCACTGGGGCTGAAGAGAATAGGGACACCTGTTGTCCAGAGTCCCCCTTACCTTAGGCCCAGGGAGGCCGGGATGCCCTGTTTTCCCCTTGAAACCCTGGAAGAAAAAGCAGGGAGATGTTCCTCTTACCTCCTCTGAGATGCTCCCCACACCCTCCTGCTCAGGCCTAGTCAATGGAGTCTTTCACAGTCATGGCGTGAGGACTGGGAGGCTGAGGAGAGCTGGGAGGAGGCTCGGAGCTCCTGGCTCCTTCCCGCTCTCAACTTACCGGGGGTCCCATGAGTCCAGGAGGGCCAGCGGGACCTGGGTCCCCCTAGGGAAAAAGAAGGAACATTGAGGAAGTTTGGTTTGGCCTCCACCCAACTCCTTCCCCACTGCCTCTGATTGTCCGAGTCTCCCATCCCAGGATTTGGTGGGGACATCATGTGAGGCAGAGGGAACTCAGCCTGGCTCAGCCTCTGACTGGCTGGGGACTGTGAATGAGTCCCAGCCCCTCTGTAGGCCCTGACTTTCTTTCTTTGGTTAAGGATAGGAGTTGACCTCGATGTTCCCCGTATGCCATGTTCCCATCTCCCACAGATTCTCCAGAAAAAACTCAACCAAGGAGCCAGGGCCTGCTCAGGCATGTCGTGGCTACAGCCTGGTTCTCCCCAGAACCTAGCTTCCTTTCTCTAGTTGCCCAAGTTTTGGAATATAAATGTAATCTCTGTCACCATTCGGTCTTTGCTGAGACCAATACACTGAACCTGGCTAACTCTATTAGAAGGAGTGAGAGACCTGGAAAGTCTGATGCCACCTGGGAGAAGGAGCAGCCCAGGAGGAGACTTGGGTACCCTGATGAAAGGGTGACTTCTCAGCACACTTTATCAGGAGAAGGATATGTTTGCCTTCCCCCTCAAATACATCCCCATCTTACCCTCAGGCCAGGCTTGCCGTCCTTCCCGTCCAGTCCGTCCAGCCCAGCAGGGCCCTACAGACAGGGGAAAGGCATTTCTGGATGCTGTACCATCTCTGGAAGGCTGACCCAGCCCCTCGGCTCTCTCTGCCTCTTACCCAGCTCACATCCCTGCCATACATGTATCCGCTCACAGGCACTCACGCCATCCCTCATACCTGCCAGGCCCTGAGGGCACACACTCACCTGAATCCCGGGAGGGCCTGGTGGCCCAGGGGAACCAGGCAAGCCCGATGGGCCTCGAATCCCTTCACTGCCCTGAAACCAGAACACCCAATGAAATCAGGGCAAAGGGGACTACGGACCCCTGGAAGTCAGGGCATTTGGCTCCCAGCCCTAGTTCTGTCCTGGCCTGATGAGCATGTGTCCTCGTCTACCAAGCCCCCTCCCCCATTTTCCTCACTGCTTAATGGAGAAAGACAGAACTTACTCAGACCAACCTCTCCTCAGGGTTGTCCCTGGGACTGGCACGTGGATGGGTGGATGTGTTTAATCTATATCACTTTAATAACATGCCGTGTATGTGGGCTCTAACACCTCAAGGCGAAAAAGGTGGGGAGATCCCTGCACTCCAGGGTAGCGTGACCCCTCGAGTGCCACGGACCTGCTGGAGCCGATGGCAGCGCAACACCCATATCTGCTTTGCAAAGATGGGGCTGCAGAGCCCAAGAGTAGGGGTGGGAGACCCGTGGTGGCCGGGGCTCAGGGAAAATTTCACAGAAGTATCACTAGGCGGCGCACTCTGAAGAATGCCTGGGATGGGGCAGGAGGAAGCTAGAGGGGACCTAGGACAGAAAGGTGGCCACACGGCTGCCTGACCTGGGTGTCAGGGCCCTTATGGTAGATGGACTGGGAGAGGGGCTGGGCCGGTGGCCACCTGACTGGGAAGGGCCCTGAATAGCAAGCTGCACTTTGTCAGGCAGACCCAGTGCCTTTTAAATCACATCTCAGGGTCCAAGGGGTTGTTTTGGGGAGCCCTGAAGCTGGGCGCAAGAAGTAGGGTTCTCACCCAGAGGATAGGACTCCAGAACCTTCTTCCAGGTTTTATCCAGAACATCTTCCCTTGTGTCTGTATTATTTGAGATTTTACATGAACTTTTGTCTAATAAAAGGCTCAGGGTCTGTAAAACGGCCTGCAAACACAGCCACAGTCCCTGGGTAGCCTCTTAAGGCCCAAAGCAGGGCAGCGGTGAGAACAGGCATGTGGTCTGGGAGGTAAGAAGCTTAAGGAAAGGCTGCTACTTCCCCTGGGCAGGAGAGAGAGGCACAGCCCTGGATCAGCAGCATCTGTGAGGGGGCTGCAGAAAGGGAAAAGACTACAGGGGAGAAAACCAGGGGTGTTGCAATACCGCCATACACCAGGAGGGGTCAGCACAGTTCTAGCCAATGTCGGCCTCACTGAGAGTTGTGATGGAGCACCTCTGGCCAACAGTTTGGGGTTCTCTGCAATGATCAGCCTAAGGGGGACTCCATAGGGAAGGAATGAGAGGGAGCTGGCAGCCATCAGAGATCTGCCTATGGCTGATGGGTCCTGGCTTAGGGAAACAGTGGGGGGCTTGTCCTCTCTTCCAGTGGGGTACTCAGCTCTGATGGCTCCCTACCTTTTGGGTTCCCCCAACTGTTTTTTTTTCTCACTTGTTTTTCTCACAGTGAGAGGTTAACGTGTGGCTTCAGAGGAAAGAGGCTCCCGGAGACTACAGAGCATCACAGCTCCCTGTGGACCCCCCTCTACATCCAAAGCTCAGACCCTTGGGGTCTCTGACAGCTCCCACCCAGTACACAAAGGAGGCCCAGCTTCTACAGAGCTAGGGGTGTCCTCTCCAAGCCACAGTAAGGCTACGTCAAGTTTAACAAGGCAGTCTCAGAGTAACGAGTGTGGCTCTCCACAGCTGCTGTCTCTGTCTTATCACGAAGTCACGGTGACTCCTGTGTCCTCTGGGCCCTTGGGGACAGCCTTAGGAGAGAGGCACACTCCACCTCTAGATGTGCCTTCATTCGAGGGATCCCAGTCCCATCCTTTCCCTTGGCTCCTTGCCCTCTCTGCTCTCTCTTGAGGCAAAGCTGGCCTCTTACAGTCTAATTACCCACCTCTATTGCTCCTGTGCCTCCTTCCCCACCCTTCTTTGGCCATTCCCCTGGCAAATGGAAGCCCAGGATACTCAGAGGCTGCAAGAGGGTGTGGGGAGGGCAAGAGGAGGAAAAGGGGAGGGTGCAGGGCCATCCACAGAGCCACTGGTTGCTGAGCACAGCCTTAGTGCAGTGGAGTTGCCTGTGAATTTCCCGAAGGCCTGAACAGAATCGTGAGAGCTTCCTGGCTCAGATGTGGGTTTCTGCTCACCTTCTCTGCTTGGGGACCAGGAGGGCCAGGGACTCCAGCTTTGCCTGGGAATCCTGGCGGACCCTGGATCGACAAAGAAGCAGGCAGGAATAAAAATGGGGCTCCATCTCCCTTCTTTCTCTGTGTATTTCTTCTGTCTGTCTGGTCTGGCTCCTAGAATCTATCGTGGCCACCTACACTGTCCTCCCCTCCCATCTCTTGACTCCCCTCCCCAGTGGGGACTGGCCAGACCTGCTCTTCTCAATGGGACCACATTACAGGGAACTTTTGGGTCTTTACTCACCGGTGGACCTGGAAAGCCTGGCTGGCCTTGAAATCCCTAGGGGAAGAAGTGAGGAGGTCACCCCTCCTCCTGGCCACTCGGGTGGAAAGAGGAACAGGTGGAGCAGCCTGTAAGCTTTGTCCTCATCTACCCAAGATGGCCAGCAGGGGAGGCTCTGGCTAGGAGGTGGGAGGGTGGGTAGGAGAATTGGAACTAGTGACCAACTCCTTCAGCCCCACCCCCAGCCCCTTCAGCCCCGCCCTGAGCTCCTTCAGCCCAGCCCCCAGGTATCACTCACCTGGTCACCCTTCTCACCAGAGCTCCCCTGGGGGCCTCGCTCTCCTCGAGGACCCTGTTGCCAAAGAGGAGAATGTAACTGAAACCCACCCTTCTAGTCCCCAGGCCACGGGGGTTGGGGGGTCAGGAGGTTCCCTCCCTCTCCACATCTCCATGGCCTGCCCACTCACTCACCGCTGGGCCTTGGGGACCTGGAAGGCCTTCAGATCCTGGTGGGCCCTGGGGACTCAAAGGAACAGAATCAGTCATTCAGAAACAGGAGGAGTGAGGCCTGGGGATGGGTAGGGTACACGGTGGGCGTGTCCTGAGCTGATAAGACTCTCAGCCCAGGCCCCTCGGTTCCCTGGAACCAGTCTGCTAATTAATCCTGCTACCTCCTGTCCCACTCCGAAGCTGCCAGCAAACAGCAGCTGATCTCTTTCTTAGGCACAGCTCCGACTATGCCATTCTCCTGCTCAGAGCCTTGCATGGCTCCCCTCTGTCTAATGAATGAGCCTATGCTTTCCTGCTGGCTTCACAGGCATCCTGTAACCTGTCACCAACCACCCTTTCCTGCTTCCTGTCCTTCTCCCCGCTCCCTCTGCTGTGTTTTGCTCAGTTCAGACTGCTGTCACCCCCAGGCCTGAGCGTTGCTATTCCCTCTATCTGGAATGCCCACCACTGATTGCCCTTCAGTGTTGCTGAGCCCTTAGGGAACCAGGCGTAGCTCCAAGCTGTTCCTGCCAGGACCTACCTGCAACCTCCACTCTCTGTGGACAGATACCACACAGCTCCTTCCGCCCCTGAGAGTCCTCCCTGAGCTCCTCTCTCTCTCTCTCTCTCTCTCTCTCTCTCTCTCTCTCTCTCTCTC